AAACAAGAAATAATAAAATTTGTCTTTAAAATTCTTATTGGCAAACGTATCTGAGATGATTCATGCATTTAATATTTGTCAAACATGAAACTGTGCTCCAGCACATCGTGTTCCTGACGACGGCCGTCGTCTCCTACATCATCCCGGACGTGCCGACCGAGGTGCGCACGCAGATCCAGCGCGAGCGGCTGCTGACCAAGGAGGCCAAGTTCGAGCACGGCCTGCACCGGGGCAAGAGCGTGGACGAGTACGACGAGCTGCTGTACGCGCTGCGGGAGCGCGACCGCGGCAACAACTCGCGCTTCGGAGACATCCTGCGGCGCGGCTCCTGGGGGCGGCGCCTGTCCAGGCAGTCCGACGGCACGGGCACGGCGGGCGACTCGCACCCGGACGTGCACCGCCTCACCACCCGCAGCTCCTCCACGGTGTGGGAGGCGCCCTAGCGCGCCCTAGCGCGCCCTAGCGCGCACCCTAGAGCACCTCCTCTGGGCCATGCCTAGAGGCCAGGCCCCTGGGTAGAGCCGAGGTATACATCTGTCGAGGGGTTGGCATAAACGACTGCCAGACGTATTTATTTAAAAAAGCAAAGCTCACTTCAAGTTAAAATGTAGGTTGATTTTATTTTTATATACATATTGCAATATAAAAATGTTTGTTAATATGAAAGCTTCAAAAAAAAGGGGATGGTGTCATTGCTTGGATATAAATTGAACAAATATAGGAGTGCGTTTAGTTTAAACTGATCAGTAAAACCGCCACGTGGACGTACCGGGTGAATAGCACGGGCTGGAGTGTTGCGGGTGTAGCTGCTTCCTGGGCGCAACGTTACCTTCCGACCGGAGTGAGTTGGCAAACCTGTACCACTTCTGCGCGAGCAATTATACACCCAATACGTACTAAAAATAAACAATTTTTAACGTACACATGTGTATACCTTTGGTTTACCAGTTAAAGTGCAAATAGCAAAAAAGTTAAGCTCATAAAACTATCTCTCCCACGATGAAAGAGAACGCTTGGCACCACCGCACAACCACCTCTTGCTCCCGTGTGCACGTACTTTAATAGAGGCCGTAGAGATATTCAATAATAGACAATAGAGCAAATAGAGAAAATAGACAATAGAGCAATTAGAGAAACTAGACAATAGAGATTAAATTCCATCCGTTGCCGTTTGATAAATTTTCTATTAACACACAATAGCTTCTAGCGAAATTCACTGCTGTGACTCCTGGAGTCAAAAGCCAAACACATACATAGTAAAAGATTGAGTTAAATGGAAACCTAAAACATTGTGCAAATACAAGTATATAATTATCCGTAGGAAACAACACAATTATCTCAATTTCCTCTTTTATATTGTTTTGAAAGAAACTTTATCAAG